CCCCCCGGCCCTCTCCCCCGTCCCCTCTCCGCCGCGCCCGCCCCCACACCCCAGGCCCGGCTGCCCTGGGGCACCTGGCGCGCTCTCGTGCTCGTGCTTCTTGAGGTGCCTGTCCAGGTTGGTCTGCTGCCCGAAGCACCGGTTGCACAGGTGGCACTTGAACGGCTTCTCCTTGTTGTGGATGTTCCGGACGTGCCGCTGCAGGTTGGAGGAGATGCTGAAGGAGCGGTCGCAGTACTTACACCTGGAAGACACGCGCGCGCCTCAGCGGGGCCCGGGGAGGCTCCGCCGGGCTGCCCGGCCCTGCACGCGCCCAACGGACCGTGGTGTCCCCGAGACCGGCCTGGGATCACCTCGACAGCCCGAGGCACCGAGGGGAAGCTGTCCCCAGAAAGCACCTGGCTTGAGGAGCAGGTGCTCATCTCTACTGTCCAGGGACGGCAGGTCCTGTTGGAACGTGCTGGCAGGGGACTCTCTTGGGCCCTGTGCTCCGGCGTATGCTGTGCCCTGGACCCTCCAGCCTCTCCCGCCCCCTTGCCTGGGTCCCTCCAGCTCAGAGGCCCTGGGGCCTGGTGGGTCTGATGCTGGAGGGAGACGTGCTCCCTGCAGCCTCAAGAGGGCGACCTTGCACCGTGGAAGGATGCTCGGGCGGGTTTTCCCGGGAAGGCCTGGCCCTTGCACCAAGTGGCTGAGGGTCCCTGGGCAGGCCCCATCTCTCTTGGGGCCTCAGCTCTCCAGCCCATTAACTGGGGGCTGAGGGGTGCCCCAGATGCTCTTAGCTCAGCCTTACCACCTGTCCCCCCACCCCATTCGGATGGCAAATGACCATGCTGAGCCCTGTTGGGCACTGCCAGCTCTGTGTGCTCAGTTTGTCTATATGCCCTGCTCTGCAGCAGGGAGGGTTGCTCCTAGCCTGCACCATACGTGGGAAAATTAAGAAAGACACCCCTCCTGCAGATGCGTCAGTGGCACCTGGCAGAATATGACCATGACATGCCAGGTTTATCACAATGAGGCACTTCACTGCCAGAAGATTGTTGTAACAAACAGCCCAGGACGTCTGCCACGTGAATGGCTGTGCTGGGAATGACCTTCGCAGCCACACTTGGTGGCCCCGCGGGCAGGGGAAAGCAGGTTGATCTCCCGTGTTACACTGGAACTGAGAGCTGGGGGCCTAAGCACACCTGCACTGAGCAGCAAGAAAACAAAGCCTGGAACATACAGAGAGCTGGACCGAGAGAGAGAGGGATTCAGAAGGAACCTTCTAGGTTCTGCAGGCAAACGCATGAGCCTTACGAAGGAGCGGGCTCCTCACTGTGGGGAGTCCAAGCAGAGCCCAGGTGGCGTGCTGAGGGGCCTCTCACCGGGCCTGCACGCCTAGCCGTGCGACAGCAGAGGGAATCCCGACGTTCGGTTGCACACGTGTGCCGGGTGTGTGCGTGAGTGCGGGGTTTCTGTGCGCGCATGCTGCAGGGTCTTAGCTGACCGAGTCCTTCAGAACCCAGAGCAGTGAGCCTCAGTGGGGCACAAGGATGGGGGTATGTCCACCTGCAGGGGTGAGGCCATTCTAAACGTGGCTGCAGGAGGGCCAGGACCTGGCAAGGCCCCCACCCCACCCCAATTTGGTGCTGTGGCCATCTCCAGCCCAGTACACTGGTCATGCACCCTGGTCACATGGATGAGATGTGCCTGAGACCACTTTGGGAGCCCTGGCCTCCCAGACCAGGGCTAGGCCAGGAGGGGCTGTGTAAGGGTGGCTTTCATGGCATTGAACTGCCCAGCACAGGAAGGGCCCAGCCCCAGCGATGGACACCAGAGGCCCAGCGTGGGACCCTTGCCTGGGGAGTCTGATCAGCCGTCAGCACGCCCCAGGCCCTCCCCGAGGCAGGAGGCAGTAGCTCCCAAGCTTTCTGGGTGTCACAGTGGGCCCAGGAGCTGAGCTCTCCCCACACAAGGGGTGGCAGCTTTATGAAACACTGTCCTTGGAATCTCAGAGCCTGCAGGCATTCCCCTGCCCCACAAGGTGCCTGATAAAACCTGGGAAGTCTGATGATGGGGCCCCATGGAACGTGGAGGTGGCCCTGCTGGAAGGGGCTCCCCCTGGCCTAGGCCCTTCTTCCAGTCCTGGCTGTAGCGGGCACCCGCCCTCCCCCAGCCCCCGAGGGTTCCCATGTGCCTTCCTGGGGTTCCGTTCATTCTGTGCTCGAACCTTCCTCCACGGTACAGTCATTGGTGATCTACAGACTCACTCTGCAGGCCGGTCCCTGGGCCCCTCTTAAGTGGCCCTCAGCCTTCCCTGCTCCTTGGCCTCTGGGCACTGGCCTCTGGACCTCTCTGTGGGGCCCCTGCTTCTCCCTGGGGCTGGTCACAGCTCCGCTCCCGCAGCCTGGTGCCGTTCAGCAGCCTGCGTTGGCCGACCATCCGCCGCTCACTCGGGGAGCCTCAGCGGTTCAGTCCTTCTCGGTGGCCTATCTCCAGGGAGCTCAGGTGAGGCTCCCGCCCCCTCAGCTGTTGGGTCAGAGACACTCAGGCACCCCTACCTGACGCTCCCACAACAGTCCAAAAGGAGGCCTTTTACACCCCACAATGCACCATGTCACTCCCCTGCCCTGACATGTCCTTAACCTTACAGACACCCTGGTGGCGCCCAGCTCTGGGCCATCCTGCTCTTTAGGGTGGTGGCTCAGGAAGGACAAACTTGATTTTGCGTCATCAGAGCAAGTGCAAGGCCAGGCTGGCCGCCAGCCCAGGTCTGGACATTTGTCCCCAGCCCAACAAGAGGCACCCCACTGCAAGGACCTGCAGTCCCCGGCTCACGGATGTGGGCCAGCCTGCCTGTCTGTCTGCACACTCCACACATGGCCTGTTCAGTTCCTGGTCTCTTTGGAATGCAGGGACCCTGTGACATGGTTCCTGCATAAACTCTGAGCGACGGGCATCCCGAGTCAGAAAGCAGACTAGAGAAGGAGCTTGTCCACAGAAACGAGCAGGACTCTCGTGCGAAAGGGAGGGGTGGGGAGGGGTGGGGGGCTCTGTGTATTCTATTTGGTCGTATAGAGGGTCCTGAACGTGGCCCTCTCCTGCTTCTAATCTAAATAAATGGCCTAGACAGAGAAGCCCATTTGATATTTAGGGGAGCACTGAGCCTAGGGCTGCGAGGGAGCAGAGTTCTCCAAGCAGCTGGGATTTGTGTTGTAAAGAAGCTGACAAGTGGCTAGTGGAATCCATGGCTGTGCTGTGTAAAATAACACACCGTCGAGCTCCAAAAAAATGAGAGCACACAGACCGCCCTGGCCACGGCACCTGGTGGAGGGCTTTGAGAGGACCTTGCTGTGACCGTCTCCACGGAGACCCCAGGCAAGCCCAGCACGGTGGAGATGACGGTCGGCCCTGGGCCCAGAGCCTGGGGCAGGAGTGTCCTCCCTGGGATCCAGGGGGCCACCGCCAGCCACCATGAGGGGAACTGCTCTTGGTAATTGTAAAAGTCGGGTAAGAAAAAGGAAGAGAGATTTTGAAACCCAGCCATAAACATAAAACTAAAAAGGAATGAGGACACGTACGGGCCACCTGCAGACCCCAGTGGAGACATAACTGTGCCTCTCCGGGCACCCTGGCCTAACACAGTTGGCAGGACAGGAGCCTGGAAGGAAATGGAGGAAACCAGGGCAGACCAGAAGACGTGCGTCCTCAAAGCAGGACCAGGGGCTCCTGCGGGAGCCCCCAGGCCCCATCCAGGGTGTGACTCAGGCCCCAGCAAGCAGCACCCTGGAGAGCCCCCGAGCACGGCTGCCAGAACAGATTCCGGGAAGCAGCCCGCCCCCCCCCATTCCCACTTCAGTTTTATGTCTTTCCAACCCACATCCCACAAAGCCTATATACTGGAGTTTTAAGACGTAAGAATGGTGTTAACTGCACCTCATCTTCCAAGTTCATGCAAAGATCTCCAGGCCAGGAGAAGCTGTGAGCCAAGGACAATTCATGGGGCCAGGCAGAAGGTTTGCCTTCCCCCAGGAAATGTGTGCATCACACCAAAGGGTCTTTCTTTGCCCTGTCCGGGCTCTGAAGCACATTCGGAGTGTTTTTAGGTCATCTGAGGCGAGGGCAGTTTGATTATCCCATCGCTCGAGCCACATATAAAAGCCCTCTTCCTCCTGCTTGCGAGGGGCCTGCGACAACCCTGCTTCTCCGGGGCACACGGGCAGGCACGTGTGCATACACACCCACCCAGCGGGCACACACAGGGTGACGGCCCCTCGGAGGGGCAGGCATGGGGGCGGCGAGCTTCTCTTGGTGGGCCTATGGACAGACGGCACGTTCTGTTCCTCCAACTTAAAACCCTTCCAATTATCAAAGCGAGCCCAGTAACCACCAGGGGTATCGAAGAGAAAGCCCCATGCCCCAAACGCCTCGGCACAGGGCTGCCTTGGGCCAGATAAAGTCAGGATTTGCAACACAAACTTGCAAAGCAATTATTGTTACCAAAGTCGAAACTCACAGATTGGAGAGAGCAAAAGAAATCGATGATAATTAAATTCTTCTATAAACACGGCCCCGACCCTCTGGGGGCTGTTAGCAGGCAACACTGTCCAGAAGTCGGCTCTCGTTACAGAGAAAACACATGGCTCGTTTTCTGGGAGGCGACCAGACCGAATCAATCTTTCTGTTGCTGGCCTTTGTTAGGTTGTAAGTCACTATTTTTTGGAGGGGAACAAGGGGGGTCTGTGCACTGGGGAGGATGGGGGCACTGGGCAGACAACTGGTAGGTAGCGTGAGCAGTCATTTACTTGCCAGATGGCACGTGGTTGGGGATGCGCCTTACGTCTCCGGTGGGGCTGGAGAGCACAGCACACGTGCAGGTGCGTCATGTGACCTCCCTCCCTGGGTATGGGGTCATGAAGCAAGTCCCCAGGGCCTGTATTACCTTGTGGTCACTTCCTGGTGACCCCCAGCTCTGTGTCACTAGAGTACTGGAATCTTAAGCCACCAACTTAAAACCATGCCAAGCTCCCTCTATTCCCAACGGCCTCTGTTAACCAGACATGCCCCAGAACGTGTTACTAAACTGGTCTTGGCGTAGAAACCAGCCTTTTCCCATCTGCCTCTTGCTTACAATCTCCTGGGGCTCTCGTTTGAAATGCCAACTGCCAGGCCCCTCCCTGGGAGTCGCTGACCGGCTGAGCTGGGCAGGGCTCTGGGCATGTCAGGGCACCACCCTCGGCCCTTCTCCTGACCCACAAAGGCCCTGGGGACAAGAGAACAGGGAACTGGCCTCTCCCAGGGCCAGAACAGTAAGCTATGGTAGGCTCCAACCCCAGGCAAGTCACGGGGCGTCTCTGAGCCTTGGGTTCCGCATCTCTGTGGGGATGACCAGGCTCGCTGGGGGGCTGTTGTGAACCTAAAATCCAGTGATTCACATCCTGATGTGCTCTACAGCTGCGTCTCTGCAGCCACAGTGGCTGTTCAGGAGAGGGTAGACGCGTGGCTTCCCAGCCAGGGCTGCCACGGGGACCCCGAGCGATCCCTCAGGGCATCCCAATCCCAGGGTGGAGACGCACGTCTGCCACCTTCCACCCACTAGGGGTGGGGGTGGCTATGGCCCTGTGAGATGGCCGCTGCTGGACCATATGCATGTGAGGCTGAGTGTTCTCCCACACAGACCACTCCTGGGGCCCTGGCTTGTGGTCGACCCTGCTCTGATCCTGAGCCCCTGCCTGAAGTGGTACCCCATGGCAGGTGGAGAGCTGCTCCCTGGCATCCTCCTTTGTGAGCAGTGCAGAAGCCTTCTGGAAGCTTCCTGAGCACCTCCTACCTCATCCTGAAAGTGTCCCAGGGGGCAGGACAGCAGTGGGGCCAGGAGAGAGGGGTCCAGAGAGGGACCAGACCCGAGGTCTCAACGCGAGCCCCATGGGTGGCTGTGGCCCTGCTGGGGGAAGACGGTTCAACCGAGCTGGGAGTCCCTAGGGAGGGTGATTGTGTTCAAACAAGTGGCAATGGTAGTCCACTGCGGCAGGCTGACGAAATCTCAGCCCCACCAGGAGCCTGCTCCCATAACTGACCCCCGCAGCTCCTACCTGTACGGCTGCTCCCCGGTGTGCGTCCTCAGGTGTCTGGTGAGATTTGCTGATCTGGGGAAGATCTTCCCACAGTACCTGGGGTGGAGATGAGGGGGCAGGGAGGGCGAGGGAGACTGTCAGGGTGGGTCACACGGCCATTTCCTAGAGACGTTCTCCCCACTGGTGTTTGGTGCCCGAGGTCTCACACCTGGGGTGCAGATGGCCCTGCCCACATGGTAGTTTCCAGTCCTCTTCAGCCACCGAGCCCAGTCCCCTTTTACAGAGAAGCCTGCCACGGGCCACAGGAACAGACAGACCCTCCCTGTGCCCCTCAGGATGGTGGTGGAGGGAGCCGGCTAAGACGGGCACCAGCTGGCCAGAGGGCTGGGCGCGTCTTCCCAGTGCTGCAGAAATATGCAGGTCACCCTCCCTTGAGCTCACATAAACACAGTGCAGTGGGTGGTGGGGGGAGGCCCACGCCACATTGATTTTTGGGGAGGGCGACCCCAAGCAGACAGGCTTTGCAGTGGCCATGACCATGAGTTTTCCCCTAACGTGCAGGTCCCCGAGCCGCAGGTGTAGCACCTGTGCTCCCCGCCAGGGCTGTCCCACCAGCACCCCGGGGACACAGGGGCTTTACCTGCACGTGTACCGCTCCTTGCCCTTCCTGAGGATGGGGTCCGAGAGCGTCGGGGGCGGGGATCGGAAGTTGAAGGGGTGGTGGGGGAGGGGCTGCAGGGAGCTGCCCGAGTCTGCTTTCATGGCCGCAAAGCTCTCCAGCTTCTCTGTCATGGTTTCAATGGCTGACATCTGTTGGCACAAGAGAGGGGAGTTCGTCTGTCTTGGAGAGTGTAGACCATCCGTGTAGTTGCCTAGGGGTCCTTTATGACTGAGGCATCAGCAGGTCTGCAGGTGGTCACAGGAGACCTCCTGGTGTCTTCTTGGCCACTGGGCTGGATCCTTCACCTTTCTGCGTCCAGCCCTGCTCTTGTCCTTCCCTGGAATCCCTGTTGCATTCAAGGGCCTGGCCCTTGGAAGCTGGAACTGACCTTGAACGACCTGCCTCACTGCTAATATCTGTGATTACCCAACTCCTTATTCTGACCCAAGCCAGCAATGCCGAGCTGGTTTGACCCTGGGCCTGCACTCCTGGTTGGCTAGCTTGGGTTAAACACAGAATTATATCTAGGTTTTTGGGGTTTTTTTGTCTTGAAAAAATCCCAGTTTAAAACACGTGATCATGGGTCTTAGGAACCACCACCACCTAGTGGCAGCATGTCATAATTGCAGGCAAAATACTAAAGAGAAATTCAACAGCCTGTGGAAGACCAGAGCCCAGGAACAAAATATTCAAACTCATAAAACCAAGTGTCACATGACAGATGACAAGTTGATCTGGGCAACAGGAGCTGGAGATGCCAAGGGCTTGCTCAAGGAGGGGATGGGAGGCATGGAATTGGTCATTTCCACCCAGTGGGCAGAGTTCTGATCAGAATCCCAGGCCCAGGCCTCAGGCCCTGATGATGGGGGCAGGAGAGGCTGGTGGAGCTACTCAGGTCTCAGCAAGCTTCTCCAGCCAGAGCTCCTCCACTTGTAAGTCAGTAACAGCCCATGATGGAGGTGGGCAACCTCATGAGTGCCCGCTATGGGCCAGGCCCTGTGGGAGGCTGAAAAGCAAAGGCTTTCATTATTCCCAGAGCCCTCAGGGTTTAAAGAGAACTCAGGGGGTAACACCTAGGTCTTGGCAGTAGTCACTAAGCCTGTTTAAGGTGGAGCCAGGGTCCCCAGGGCCCTTCTGGGCACAGTGGGCACTCCATACATTTTTGCTCAACCATAGAGAAGGGGCTGGTGGGGAGGGTGGAGGGACAGGTGCCAACGGAGATGGGGAGAGAAGGAATAGCTGCTGGTTTTCAGAGAGCTGTGGTCACTGGGAGAAACTGGTCATGGGGGGAGGACCCCTGGCAGCCAGCGTATGGAGCGGGAGCAGGTGGGCAAGGAGAAGGGGAGGGGGAGACCCCATCCCCCCAAGGCCCCTCATTTAGTGCCCACCACCTCAGGGCAACACTTCCTGCTGGCCCCTTGGAGAAGTTTCCTGCTCATTTACAGCAAGACCTCGGCCCCTGCCACCCACTGGCAAACAAAACCTTCACGTCACCTAGTGGGGTGTCCTTTCAGTGATCCCTGGCCATTCAGCCCTCGTCTCAGTGCCCAGTGCTCACCTTTGTGGGGCCCCATTCACCTGGCAGGGAGCAGGGGCTTTTTACCAATGCTACTGGGCAGCCACAAACTCCAGTGTGGAGACAACTTTCTATCTGGGGAACAACTGACTGGTTGCAATAAAAGCACCAGGAAGGAGCTAACGAGTAGAAGAGTGTGTCCATCCGAGATGGCCAAGGCCTCCCCTTGCCCAGGCTGCTGCCCTGGCTCCCTCGCCAGCTCTGCCCAGGCTGCAGGAGACTTTGAGCACGTCCCTGCTGATGGGCAGGTGGAAGATGCCTTCCTCCACGGCCTGGACAAGGGGTCCCCAGGGCAGGCAGAAACTGCCCGAGGGTGTCAGCTGTAGCTCTGGCACACCCTGCAGCTCTTCTCCACCCTGAGGCTCCCCAGGACCCCAGAGCTGGCGAGGGGCACACCAGATAGGATCACCTTGCCCTGCACCAGGGGGGCCATTTACCAGCACATTGGGCCTCAGAGCAGAAGAGTCTGGTGGTGGTCCTGCCAAGCCCCTGCACGGCACGGGCTGATGTCTTTGTGCAGTAGTGGCTCTTGTGCTTGGTAGAGGCTGTTTTCAGGCACCTTCTGCCCGACTGACAGCCCAACCTTAGGCCACTTAATTTGGTGACTTATCCGTCGGCCCTCTCTCCCTGCCTCCTCCTCCTGACTCTGGCTGCAGGGTGGCAGGCCCACGGGCAGCGGCAGGAGGGACAATGGGCAGCAGGTCCCCGCCGGGCCTCTCTTCCTCAGGCCTGGGCGGGTCTGGCCTGCTCGGCCTGCGCTGCGTGATCAGATATTCCTGGCAGAGCCCCCGGCACAAACACAAACACAGGATGCGCTGGTGGGCTTGTCGGGTCTCTCCAGCCCGGCCCGAGCAAAATGGGGGGAAGTTATCAACCAGGCCCCACGGCCCCAGCAAGACAATGGGAGACGCTAAGTTTAGCTGTGAACTCAGCCAGGGTGCAGGCTTCACAGACAGGGTGTTTGTCCAAGGCGGGAAACACGAGAAAGGGAACAATGACCCGGTCTGCAGTCTCGGTTAGAGCCGCCCCGGCAGGCAGCCTGGGACCCCAGGTGGGGGAGGGCAGGGCCTGTGGCTCCGAGGAGGGGGCTGGGCCCCAAGCGGTGAGGGCAGGTGGGCACAGGGCCCCCCCTTTCTGCCCTGCTGTGCCCAGCCCCCTGGGGCAGGCAGGAGTGTCTGCCGGCCCTACGAGGGCTGGGCTTGCCTGCACAGACTTGGGGGCTCTCCAAGTCAGTCTCTTTCCCAGACCCCCACTCTACTGCCTGCAGACGCCTCCCTCTGGGCTGCCTCCTGCCCACCTGCCCTGAACCATGCCCTGCTCCGTGCCGCTGTCTGTGCGCTCAGGCCCTTCCTCTCGTCTGGTCATTTCATTTGAATACATTCAGGTCTCGGCCACCCCAGAAAGACCAGCTCCCACCCCATGCCGCCGGGGCTGCTGCCCGAGCCTGCTCCCCTGACGTTCAGAACGCCTGGACTCCCTCCGACCTCCATCCCCTACTCCACTGAAGCTGGTCCCTCTCCCAGGGCCTGGAGCCATGGGGCTGCCCCATGAGGACCTCCCTCCTGCCTCATGCTCTGTAGCCTCACAGTGACCCTTGGGGCCTTCAGGGAGAGACTCCTCCTCTGCCTTTGAGGGACGAGGAAGCTGAGGCTGGAGCCTGCCTTGGGCATGTGGCATGGCCTGGATGGAAACTCGGGCTCCCACCCCACCAAGAGCTCCCGCACTGCCTCGGGCAGCCAGGGTGGGCCCACCAGGCACGAGTGGTCCCGAGGCGCCCCATTGCCCGCTGCCCCGCTGTGTCATTACCTGGGGGTGGAACAGCAGCGGTGACGGCCGCAGGTACTTTTCCTTCAGGACTCCCACCGGGTCCGACACCTTCCGCTTTTCTACCCTGCTGGACAGCAACACCGAGGGTTACGCACCCCCCTGAGCCACCCACCCCTCCGGGAGCTCGTCTATGCCCAGGTCGGTCATTAGGCCATGGTGGGGGCCTCACCACGGCTGCCTTGCCAGCTGTCACCTGGCCCTCCAGCCCACCCCTGCCTTCTGAACACTCTCACTCCATGGTTCCGACACGTGCTCCCCACCCCCTTCAAGTTCCCTGGTGTCCCCCAAAACCGCCCCGCTTCTGGTGCCCATGCATGTCACGAATGCTTAATGCTGGAGCCTGGAATCTTCTCTGAAGGCCCCGTGCCCACCAGCGTCCAGCCACCTGGCTGGTCAGCCCTGTGTGCATGGGGGCCACCCCATCGGTGGTCCTGGGACTTGCCCACGGATCACACGGAGGCTCGACCCCTACACACCAACTTCCCTGTCCTTCCCAGCCCTTGATGCAGGGAGCTATCTGTTCGCACAGATAAATGTGAGTAGCTGCTGGGTTTCTGACGTGGGGAAGTCACCAGCGACTTCCCACCGCAGCCAAGCAGGCCTACCTAAAAACCCTTGATGGCAGCTGGAGATTGCAATTCTAGAATCTTCTCCAAATGCCAATGACAACTCTGCTAAACACAAAACAAGTCTCCATGGTAAACGAAGCTGGTGGTCGGGGCGGCATCCACTGACCCCTGCTGTGCCCTGAGGATTCCCGGCCGTGGGGGATCTTCCCACGCCCGCCGCAGCCCCCAGCAGGGGTTGGGACCCGTGAGCCTCTTTCTCGGCATCTCTTTGGTCAGACCTGTGGCCCTGCCCCCCACACCCCTCTGAGCACACTCAGGACTGGGGCTCCCGTGCACTCGCTCGGGCCCTTGCTGGGCGCTGGTGTCCCTCACTCCTGCTCACGACTCTAGGAAGTGGGGTCTTGGCTTCTCTGCCGTCCAGGGGACCAGAACAGAAACTGGGGTGGGGGGCACGGACCACAGCGAAACAGGTGAGGTGACCACAGGAGGGCACAAGCCACCGAGGAAAATACAGCCACCCCAAGGCCGCAGGTAACCCCACAGAGACCCCAAACGACCCTGGTCCAGGAGGGGGAGGGCTCTGAGGACAGAGAAGGCAGAGAAGGTTCTCTGCCCCGCAAAGGGACAGGCACTTGTCAGCGTGGGGGGGACTCACTCGGGCCCTCACTTTGCTGAGTTTAACCAAGGCCCCGACCAACATAGGGCTGTGTGGGATTTGCCTTTTTGGGTTTTTTTTTTTGGTTTAATTAGTTTAATTAAAATTTTTATTGTTTTATAATTTATTACTTCACCTACTCTAACCTTTCTTTCTTTCTTTTTTTTTTTTTTTGGATTTATTCAAACTTTTCAATGCGAGATGGTAGAAATACCCAATTTGTATTCTAGTTTTTCCCCAGCCTCTCCCCAACCTCCCTCGTCCGCCACCTCCACCCCGGCAACCCTCGGCATGTTCTCTCCCTCTGCAAGTCCAACTTTCAACAGACATTCTGGGGTTGGCAGCACTGGCCGAGAGCAAGGGGACCCGGGGAGGAGAAAGGGTTAGGGTTAGGAGACGAGAGCTCGAGGTGTGGGAAGCCACGGGCCACGGCAGGGGGGTTAGGCACGCCATCCCAGTGAACCCAGACCCGGCCGTGTGCGGTTTGTCTTGCTGTCTATCCTGCCTTTTCCTGGTCTTGTGTCCCGTGGCATCCCCACCAGCCTGGCTCTCTGAGTGACCGAGGCCAGCAGACCCTGCTGACCCACGGAGGACGTGTGTTGTGCCGAGATGCTCTGCTTCTGTCACGGCGGCGTTTGCAGCCCATCCTCATGGACACACCAGCCGTGTGGCGGGAGGGAGGACCCAGGAGCAGAGGGGCCAAGAGGCTGAGGGGACCTTCTCCCCAAAGCCCAGAATCTGACGGGCGGTCACAGCCTCTGGCACCTTCCCTTGGAAGGAAGCCTTCCGCTTGCCGTGCATTTGTCTATCTGGATTGGACTTGGGGGCAATTTAGAGTGAACCCACACTCAGGCGCTCGGCTGGTGTTTCGTAAGCAGGAAAACCTCCTGAGTCAGTCTGTGTATAAAGGCAGGATCCAGGCAGCCTCTCCAGCAGCTGCTAGATCCTAAGTCCCAAAGACGAGAGCTGGGGACATGTGTGGCCTCGGGGGAGCTCTGCGGGGAGCTGGGGATGGGCGCCTTCAGGGCCCTGTGACTGGCACCCATGGGTCCCACCTGTAGCCTGACCATCTGCTCCCTGCAGTTTCTAGGAAAAGGCCCAAAGCCCTAAACCAAGACCGTGGGGGTTGAAGGGCTGGAGGTGGCAAAGAAGAGGCTAAGGGGATTGTTGGAGGCAAAGGGCAGAGGGGAGCAGAGGCCAGGAGAGCAGGCGTAGCAGGAGACCAGGGTGGAATGGGGAGGAGCTTGCCCGGCTGCTGGCTCCAGCACAGGGCCTGACCAGGAGGCTCCGTCCCCTGGTCCCCAAACCCCGCCTCAGGTCCTGTGCGTGTCCTCCTGGGTGCCGGTACGCCTGCCCTTTCATCCCTGCTGTTTCCTGGCCTGCTGGGGGTCCTGGAGTCCCTGATTTTAACTGGCAAGCGCTTCCTCAGACCTTGTCTGGCCATGCTCACCCCAGAAAGCCGATGGGCAGCAGGGCCTTTGACAGATGACAAGTTGCCCCCTCTCTCAAACCATCTACAGGTGGTGGGTGCTTAAAGAAACACCTGAGGGCACTGCTACGTTTCCTGTGATGACGTCAGGACGTCGGCAGAAAGTAGACCCTGGCAGCAGACCCAGGCCAGGCCTCAGGGTCATGCTGGACATGCTGGCAGCAGGACAGGTGTCCTCGATGCAGACACATGGAGACGTGCCCACCCCTCACCTCTTGGCCAGCAGCTCTCAGCCTGCCTTGCTCTGACATTTTCCCTCATCTTTGTCTTCCGAGAACCCAAAATGCAGCAGGTGTGACCTGCTCACCTGCTGCCTCTCTTGGAGTTGTGGACCCCATGTCCCCAGGATGTGGCTGGACCCAAGGAGAGTGGTAGATACGCAGGCCAGGAAGGGCTGCCGCATGCCCCCCACGCACCAGTGCATGCATGCACACGTGTGTGCACACGTGTCTCTCTTCAAGGCACGGGCCCACATCAGTTGCACCAGCCCAGCCTACCCACGAGCACACCCAGGTTCACCTGCATCTCCCTTACACAGACAGGCAGGCAGCGCGGGGCAGGGGCTCCTGGGGGTACGACCCCTCTCATCTAACCTAGCCCTGTGCTCACTGCACTCTAGGGAGGCTCAAAGCCTGCCCAGAAATTGGTGAGTGGGATTAAATTTGCCCCCACCCGGAACATCAGGGAGTTGGGACAGTGATGCTTCCTCGGCCCCCCAGACTCCTCCGGCCTCCTCCCCCTCCTCTCTCCAGGGCCCAGCAGCTCCTTCTCTGATTTCCCCTGGGCCACCAGAAAGCCCTCGCTGTGGCTCCAGGGTGGGGCCGGGGACCACAGGAGCAGCCACAGGGAAGCAGAGCTGTTGGGGGTAGAGAAGACACTCAGAGGAAGCAGGACCCTCTGACTTGTGGGAGGTGGAAATTGGTCCAGAAAAGGCAGCTGGAGATGGGGGCTCGTGCGGGGCTGAAGCAGGCAGCGGACGTTGGAACTGTGTGTGTCTGGAAGCACCCATCTGGCCCCCCAACCGTGGCCCTGGCCAGGTGCCCACCCTAGGAACGGCCAAGCCTGGCGTCCCTCAGGCAGGATGCGGACCCCTCCAGGACCGAGTCACCTCCCCGAAGCCAGCAAAGGCGGAGGGAAGAGCCCTGAGGGAGCTCTCGAGACAGGGAGACCCCTGCACTGAGCCCACCCAGCTGCCCCCGGGGCGGGTCGTGGCCCTGTGGGAGCACAGGGGAGGGCGGGGCGTGTTATACCTGTAGATGGGGTCCATGAAGAAGGGGGATGGCTTGGCGTAGTGCAGCGAGGGCTGCTGGGGCAGCTGCGCCGGGCACACCTTGGGCAGCGCCTCGCCGGGCCCCAGCTTCCGCTCGCCGTAGATGTGGTTCTTGCGGGGCTCCCGGCTGCCTCCGTTCTGGCTGGCCCGGGCCCGGCTGCCGATGCTCAGGTCCAGAGGCTGCTCCTCGCCAGATGCGGGCACCGAGGGGACCTTGGGCGTGGGCAGGACGGGCTTCGCCTCTTTTGGTTTGGTGGTGAGGTCGAAGGGGCACTCAGCGCTGGGGCCGCCCACCTTGAGGGTGTCCCGGGGCGACTTTGGCTCGGCCTTGACCAGCAAGTTGTGGGCGAGGGCTCGGTCCGTGAAGGGGTAGAGGGAGTGTGGGAAGTTGGGCAGGAGCTGGAAGGGGAACACCGAGTGGTAGGGCAGCGAGCCCAGCTTCTTCTCCTGCATCCCCATGAAGCCCGGGCCGAAGTACTTCTCGGCAATGGATGCAATGGCCTTGATGGAGTCGCCTGCGGCGCCCGACGCGGCCAGCAGCTGCTCGTCGGGCGGTGGGAGGAAGGCGTGCTGGGCGTAGAAGACGGGCACCTCGGCCAGGCTGTGGGGGGCCCCAGGGGGTGCCGAGCCGCCCCCAAGCTCGGGCTTGCCCTCAGCCGGCCTGCTCTTGTCCTTGACCTTGTCGCGGTCACTGTCCGCGTCGCTGTCCAGGTCCGAGCCGGTCCCCGTGCTCGTGTCCAGGTCAGTCCCCGTGGTGGTGTTGATGTCCTCGAAGTCGCTGACGTCTGACACGTCGCTGATCCGCGTCTTGAGCTTCTCTGCGTACGAGTCCTCCAGGCGGCTCCCGAACTTCTCCTCGGGCCCGGTGCCCGTGGTGGCGCCCTGGGCACTGTTGCTGACCGCGGAGACGAGGGGCAGGGCCGGGTTCCCCAGGGGGCTGGGGAGCTTGGTGTCCGGGGTGTGGTTCAGGGGGCTCTTGAGCAAGGGCGTGGGAGGTAGCAGAGGTGGCCGGGGGTACAAGGACGGAGGGAAGATGCCCGGGAAGCCGGGTGTGAGCGCGGGGAAGGCTGGGGGCGCCGTGGAGAAGGGCAGGCTGCCCGGGTGCGGCCGGGAGGGGAAGTACTCGTGGAAGCCCAGGCCGGCGTGGTTGAGAGTGGTGGGGGGCTTGGCCTTGTCCACCAGGGGGCTGGGGGCCAGGGGCAGGCCCGGGGCGAAGAGGCCGCCGGGCGTGTAATGGTTCTTGCCCTCGCAGAAGCGCCGGTGCTTGTTGAGGGAGGAGGTAGTGCTGAACATCTGCCCGCAGTCCTTGCACTTGATCTGCGTGCGGCAGTCGGCGTGCATGCGCTTGTGCCGGCACAGGTTGGAGAACTGGGTGTAGGACTTGTGGCAGACCTCACCTGGAGCATCAGCAGAAAGCAAAGACACACATGCCGTGAAGTGCCGGGAAGCCCTGCACCCAGAGGGGTGGGGCCAGGGGTCCGCGGGCACGCGTGGGTGTACCGTGCATGTGTGCATATGCACACACATGTGCACGCACACGTGCATGTCTGTGTATGCCCACGTGTATGTAAGCATGCAAGCATGGGCACACATGTGCACGCATGAACACGTGTGTGTGTGCCTGTGCACACGCACCCCACCCTGGAGTGGCCTCCAGTGTCTGGCTTGCTTTGGCCAAGACCATCCGAGCCCTGCCCGGGGCCCCGGGGCCAGCTTCACAGACCCCACAGAGCCTCGATCTCCTTTTCAGAGAAATGGGGACATCACTGCTTCTTCCCAGCTGCCCCAGAGTGTTGCTAATTCGGGAGCCAGGACCTTCAGAGATCACAGAAGGAGGGTGAGCCTGCTCCCCAGGGCTGGGCATGACAAAGAGAAGTTGCACGGCCACGTCTGTGGCTTCCACAGCCTACGAGGCCAGCGGGCTCAGAACCCGGTCGCTGTCCTCTGCACTTCAGGGACCGCCGCCCCAGCGGCGGTGGAGGAAACACCAGTCACTCCGATCAGGTCTCCCAGTCCCCAGAGGTTTAAAATGCTGCTTGCTTCCTCCCTCCTGCTCTGGCTCTGCCCCAGGCCTGCCACTGCATCCCAGGAGTGGGTGGCCTCCGGGGGTGGGGGGATGCAAACCATTGCTGGGGGTTCTCTGGGGCTCCGGCTCAGGGGAGCCCAGGCTTGGGGAGCACGGCTCCTGGCGGCACTTGGCCACCGTCTGGGGGTGGCTGAAGGTGGGATGTGAGGTGATCCCTATGCAAGGGGGCATGTGGAGAGGAATGGGTTTCACCTTTGAGAAAGTGAAAATCTTCCTTCCAGGAACCTCCCCAAACTGAGAGAGGAGAGGCAGGGCCAGGATCTGGCATCTTCCCTCCACAGGAGAGAGCACAGCCTCTGAGCCCAACTCCAGGGCCCAGAGGCTCGGGGGACCCGAGGCCTGTGAATTGGGGGTCAGCAAATCACCAGCTTGTCTTTCTCCTCTTGTTTTTCTGACAAGAAAGGGGAGACCACGTGCACACATGCACACGCACACACCTGCATGTCTTTCTCTGCAGGACAATTGCCCCCTAAACACAGCCCGGTGGAAACAAGGACTTGAGTGGGCTCACCGCTCTCCACAAACCCTCGGCTGCCTGACTTCAGGCGATTCTAGCAGGCAGCCGCTGACGGGAGAAGAACTTCGCCTCATTTAATCAAATCTGCCCTTTTTGGGAGGCTGCTGACAGAGGTGCCGCTCCACGGGATGGTCTGTACATATCCTGGGGTCACCTGCCTACCCTCAGGGAAGAGCTCAGGCCATGCCAGCCAACAAGCAACACCTGGACACTCCCGATGCCCTCGCTGCACCCGGCCCTCTGCAGGGCTCTGCCAACCTCTTGTCAGTGGCTGCTGCCAGCCTGGGCTTGAATGCTGGCTCTGTGCAGGTCTCTTGCCAGGACAGCTTCAGCAAGGGGCCCCCTGGGCCAGTGGCTGTGCCTGGGCTTGGGGACCCTTGGCTCCTACTTATCCATGAAGGGGTCCTGCAGGGGGCTGGACCTGCAGAAACACTGGGGCTGCAGGCTGCAGAGAGGCCTCAGGAGACTGAGGTCCCAAGAGGGCAGGTCCTGGACCCCAGGGATGACTGATAGATGGGTCAGAGCCCACGAGAAGAGACAGAGGTCGCCTGCAGGTGGAGGAAGGGCGGTGCAGCCACAGTGACCTGGACATGGGGACCAGTGCTGGACGGAGGGTGCCCCAGGCCCTGCCAGGATGTGGAGGGACCCTGGGCAGTGCTCGACCTGCCAGGAGTTTCTTTTCCTCAAGGCTCTTGTGTGTGGGCGCACACACAGTGTCTCTCTCTCTCACATGCACCCTCGCACCCTTGTTCCAGCCAAGGTCCTTTCTTGAAAAGTGCCCATGAGGAGACTGCCTGCTTCTGCGCCCAGATGCCCTTCTCGCTCCCTCCCCTGCCCTCCTTCCCTATCTCCCTCTTACACACACACACACGCACGCACACGCACACACATATGCACGTGTGCATACAACCTCCCCCCCCAGTGCACACCCGAGCTCCCTGGTGGAGAGCGATCACAGAGTGTGATGCCCCTCAGTCTGCGTGGTCAGTGAGGCAGGGAGGCTTCCTGGCATTTTGGTACCCATCTGTGTGTGCTGTGGGCTGCACACAGAGTCTGCACATTAGTGCATGCGCCACTGGGAGCCTGGCTGTGAGGGGCTCTCCCAAGTGACTGGTCATTCCTCGAAAGGGCCACAGCATTTGGAGCCCACCACCCTCACTTCTTGCAGATTTTCCTCTCCAAGCCTGACTACAACCCTCTAATGTGCACTAAATCACGCTCTGCCGAGGTTTGGACGATGCATGCGTCTGTATTTCATGTGTCTAATTTCTAAAATTTGCATCATCTTGAGTGAAATGTTCATAAACTCAGCCTCGCTACATTGGGCAGTTTTTTGGGGTTTGTTTTTGTTTTTGTTTTTTTAGTTTTATCCCATTAGCCAAAAAGCAGGCACAAAGGTGAGCCTGGAGCACAGCCCAGAGGTGTGAGAGGTACGGACGCCAGTGTCCCCGTTCTCCAGCACGCACGTGCGGTGCAGAGCAGGGGTGTGGCTCCTGGAACTGTTATTACATTGATCCAATGGGACTTTAAAAAGCTTGTCTGCATGCTCAGAAGGGCAACGACATTTACAATTTTCTTGTTTCAGAGCTTGCTTTAAGACACCCAGCTATTCCTTAATGCACTAACACGTGCCCCTCCCACAGTGAGGTGCGACCGGGAAAGCAGGGTGTTTCCTTCCAGTCACAAAGTCACGGTGCCCTGTCCCCCCCACGCCCAGCTCAGCCTCGTCGTGGCCCCTCCCAGAGGGAACGGTCACTGCCCGTGCAGGGTGACAGGGCTGGTCCCACCACTGCTCAGATGTGTCTTTCTGGGGCCTGCGGGTGAAGGAGGTGGTCGGTAAACGGAAAACAGAATGTGTGGAACGGCCAGCAGAGGAGGTCTTTCTCCCTTGGGTTTCTCCCTGGAGGAGCCGGTGACCCAGGCAAGGTTGGGGTCTGAGTTATCTCTAGCAAGACAACCGGAAGCCCGGGCTGGGGGCTGCGGGTGGGAGAGAGGCACAGCCCCAGCTGCCCGACATGGGCCTGGCCCACTGGTCAGCGTCGCCTCTTTGGGGCAGTGGCCAGTGCCCGAGTGTCCTGCACTCTAGTGTGAACACCCTGACCCCAAGTGCCCAACCCCCCAGAATCACTCCTACCACACCGACATGATGGAGCCCAAGGCTCGAGGTCGCCCCGCCTGGGGTCAGGAGCCAGCCCCTAAGCTACAATCTGTACTCTGCAGCTGGACTTGGGCGTCAGGTCACCCAACGCCTGGCAGCCTTGGCTTCCTTCCCTGTCAGGTGGAGATGGCAGAAATTCTGTAAAGATGTCGCGCTATAACGTGTAGGAAAAAATGACTTGGCCCCATGCTCAGCAGACAGCAAACTTCAGTGGCTTCTGAACCCGCTGAGAATCAGGGTCGATATCCCTGCACTGGCCCAGTCAGTCCTCGGGACCTGGCGACCTCTGACGCCTCCTCACCAAACACCCCTGGCCTCAAGGCCCCTGTGCCCACTGCCCGCTTCCTGAGCCTCCTCCACAGGCACACGCGCTCACTCTCTGCTGGAACGTGCAGGAGCACGGCCCACCCCAGGCTGCCAACCTGGCCCTGCGTGAGGCCCCAGCCCTGCACCACTGTCCCCAGGCTGGTGTGCCTGTCACCTTGTTTATACAGCTTGTCTGTCTCCTCGCACTAGTGCACAAGTCACGTGAGGACAGGAGCTCTTTGATTTACCGCTGGCCTGGCCGCCTGCAACAGCGCTGGGCACACAGGGTCTCCCTAGAAGATTGTCATGCACAGGGCAGCAGGAGGGACGCCCTCTGGAGCTCAGCAAGGGTGGGTGTGAGGGCAGGGGACAGGAAGGGCTCCTGGGGGAGGAAGGACTGTGCCTTCCTCTGTAGGACCCTGGACCACACCTGGTCCTTCCCACCACTCCTGGAGCTCAGCAAGGGTGGGTGTGAGGGCAGGGGACAGGAAGGGCTCCTGGGGGAGGAAGGGCTGTGCCTTCCTCTGTAGGACCCTGGACCACACCTGGTCCTTCCCACCACTTGTTACCTACCTGCCAGGGAACCAGGCCTCACCTGGCAGACATGTCAAGACCTTGCAGGAGACTTTTCTAAATAGGGGTCCTCTGAGTGGGGGGAGAGCCCAGGGGATGCCACACCTTGGCCCGACCCCGTGGTGCCCGCACATAGCAGGGAGGGAGGGCGGGCGGACGGCCCGCGGGGACGACTCACATATGAAGGGTTTGACGGTGCTGTGGATGTGCTTGTGCTGCTTCAGGCCGGAGGACGTGGCGAAGGTCTTCCCGCAGTCTGGGCAGGCGTGGGCCCGGGCGCCGACGTGCTGCGAGCGGATGTGCCGCTGCAGGTTGCTGGGGTCCGTGAACACCTGGGGAGACCATCGCTGTGGGCTCGTGCCCTGTCTGGATGCCCCCCAGTTGGCCCGGGTCTGGCCGCTGCACCAGGGGCCATGAAGGCTGGGTCCTGCCTGTGTCCCTGCCTGCCCTGACCCTGCACTGAGCTGGCCAGGATGGGTCCATGCCACAGCAGGGTCCAGGGTGGCCCTACGTGAGCTGCTGAGCCTCCCCGGCCCTGGTTTCCTCAACAATACTTCCTGGGAAAACTGTGGCCATGGGCTGCACGAGGCAGGAGCGCAGAGCGCGTTTCTAAGCTACAGGGCCACCCCCGTGAGGGCTTGGGCTGCGGGAGGGTCCCCTGCCAGCCCGTTCCTTTCGTGTCAGCAGGAGCACGACAGCCCGCCTGCGGAGGACCTGGTTCAGGTCTCGGCCCTGGTCCTTCTGAGCTGCAGGAGCCCGTCTTCTCTGAGACGTCCCTCCCGCCCAAGCAGAATGGAAGGACTGAGTGACCCGGGGCCTCCAATGCCCGGCCGCGCTGTATCTGCACCTTGCAGTGGGCAGGGGGGAGAGGGTGGCGGGTCCGTGCCTGTCTGTGGGGGGCAGGGTGCGTGGGAGCGGCAGCTGCGCGTGCACGTTACCTTCACGCAGTTTTCACATTCGAAGCGCTTGCCGCTGTCGTGGGACATCTGGTGGCGGATGAGGTTGGACTTCCAGTTGAAGGCCTTGGGACACTGGTCGCACTTGTACTCTCGCTCCTCCGTGTGGATGATCATGTGCTGCTCCAAGCTGCGCACGGAGCACGGGGTCACGCGGGCCCACTGCCGCCCTCTGCCCTAGAGGGGAGGCCCCCGACCCCACACGGCCTGTTCGCCGTGGCCCCCAGAGTCCCCCACACTGCTGGGGCCAGAGCAGTCCCAGCATCTCTTCTGTCCACCTCCTGTCTGGACTGGCCAACAGTACGAGGGCCATCGGCGGCCTTTCCCCGTCGGACGAGGAAGCCGATGCCTGCACGGAGCTCTGTCCCTCCCCAAGGCCACCCCCCCAGCACCCGGGGGCAGGGCAGCCTGCACTCTTTGGCCGCCCCTTGGGACGGTCCTAACCTTGAGGCTAAGCTTGGGCCTAAGAAATAAGGGGTCCTGAAGCTTGAACTTTGCCCAAGCCCCAGAGTGGTGGCAAGGCCCAGGCCACCCAAGGCCACCCCTCTGAGCTCCTCGGGGGTCCTTCAGGCTGAACTAGGCACGCACCAAGGAGGCAGCGCGAGTGAAGGAGGGGGTCTCCAAGTGACATGTGATGAGGGGGAGAGAGCAGCTGCTGGGGGGCCGCTCCACTTGGCGGAACGAGCAGCTTCTAATCCCCTCCTCTCGGGGGACACCCTGCTTTTCCTCCCATCCCGGGGATGACCGTTAATCTTCATGAGCAAAGCAGTAATACATCACGGCCCGTTAATTACGGGGCCCAGCCATCCATTTAGATCAGAAAGGCCTGGTTCCAAGCATCGGGAGATTGTATCTTTTTCCCTGTTGTTAATTGTGATTTATGTGTTTATGTAAAGAAAACATGGACCCTCTTGAGCAGTGCTTACTGCAGAGGGCCTCAGTGGGGATTTGCCCAAACACTTATTTTCTCAGTCATCTGTTCAGGGTGGAGGGCTTGCTGTCCCCAGGGAGGTTGTGATGGGATCGGCGTAAATCCCCAGCAATCACACAGCCGGTTAGTGGCCTGATGGGTTTCGCTCTGACTTTGCAAGGCCGTCCTGGAGGAAATTCTCAAAGACTGGAGGAAGCACCCAAGTTGGTAAAGTTTCCCTGGCTCTAGAGCACGGGGACTGAATGTCCTGGCTTCTCCCCACGGAGCCCAGGAAGCTCGTCTTTCCCAGGGTGCACAGGGTCCCCAAGTCCCCTAGTCTCCAGGTCCTGACTCCTGCCTGGCCTTGGGGAAGGGGAGGGCCAGCTTGGGCCTGCTCTGGGCTGACCGTGTCTGACCATCACACTGTGGGCCTGGCACTCTCTGAAGTCCCTCCTGGGAAAAGGGGCTGTCCCCCCACAGCACGGGGAGCAGAGGCCAGTGTCTGGGGGGTTAAGGGGACTCCTGGGTGACCTCTTTCCACTCGTAACCATTATCTGAGAAGGAATAGTACATGTATCCAGAGCATGAGGCCACCCCATGCATCCCAGTCTGGGACCTTCTTACAGAAGCAGCCCTGGGGCAGATCCCTGCACGTGCCAGGGTCTGGCCTGTGTTTTTGACTCTTTTCTAGTCTGTCTCCGCAACTCAGCCCTGACTGTGCAGGTTGGCAGGGCCAGCAGCATCTCAACTAGGCATCTGGCAGGTTTTTCTGGGAGCAGGGCCCTTTGCGGTGAGAACCAGGGACCACCTGCAGCTCCGCCCACCAGCTTCTGCACCAGCTGTGCCCCCTAGGGCCAGCCGTGCCACATGAGTGGCTGGGTATGCATTCCAGTGCACTGGAGGGAACCCTGTGTCTCCGCCTGTCCCTGGAGCCCCTGGCCTGTCGGAGCGGGTGGGGATGGGGAATGGGCCGACCTCTGCCCTCCTTAGGGCTCCCTGGTGTTTCTGGGAGGGAGGGGCAGGGCAGCGGCACCTGTACTTGGTGGGGAACATCCGCTCGCAGTCCTTGCACTCGTGGGGCTGCCCGTCGCTGCTGCCCCCGCTGCCCAGGCCCTCGGCCTTCAGCTCCTCGCCCAGACCCTCGTAGAGCACGGTCCCCGCTGAGCTGCACGCGTACTTCTTGTGGCGCCGCAGGTCCAGCTTGGAATGGAAGAGCTCGTCACACTCGGCACAGCGGAACGTGGGCTCCTCTGCAAGAGAGGGGATAGGGAGGTGGGTAGGTGAGCCGGAGACCCGTCCTAGGGCCCATCCGAGGGCCCATCCCAGGGCCTGTCCCAGGGCCTGCAGAGGGCTTGGGAGACCCGGCCCCCTCAGCACCGTCCCGAGGGGCCTGTGCACTGGCTGGTCCTGCTCTGCTTCCTCATCCTGGACCCAGGAGACAGGACCACAGGGACGAGCCCTGGGAGCATGATGGACCCTGATCTCTGCCTCTCGGGGCCACCCCAGGGCCCCTTCCTGCATCTCAGGCAGCCACCGCGGGCTCGAGCAGGCCCCGCACTCAGAGTGGAGGAGGAAGCTGGGCCAAGTGCTTTGTTTATGAATTAGGAGAAAAAAGACGACAGAGCTCCAGCGCGTATAATATATTATTGTCGTCAAGGTCAAACAAATTAAAAGGGGGGGCAGCTATTATTAAGTTTACGAGGCAGCATCCTGACCACAGTGCCAAGCCAAACAATCAGCCGGAGCTGTCATCCCGGCCTCCCTGCCTGCAGCTGCCTGAACTGCAGCTTTCCCCTAGAGAGGGCATCCCCCTCCCCACCCAAGGAAGGCCCCACGTCCCACCCAGGTCTGGAAAGAGAACGCTTGCACTGAGCCCCTGCACAAATGAGTTCAACGATGCATCTGTGTGCTTGTGTGCACATGTGGGCATGTGCGTGTGTGCTCGTGTGCATCTTGACATGGGCGTGCAGCTGTGGGTGGATGTATGTGCATGTGCACGTGTGTGCACGAGCGAGGACACAGGAGCATATCTGCACCCATGTTTGTGCATCTTTGTGTGAGTGTGTGTGTACGCCTGTGCACTTACACCCGTGTTGGTATGAGTGTGCATATGGACTCGTGTGCATGTGTGCATGCTTTGCACATGTGAATGTGCACGTGTTTTTGTGTGTATGAATGTGCATTTATGTGTTACACGTGTGTGCATGTTACGTATATGTGTTTGTGTGCATGGGTTATGTCTATTGGGTGCACATGTTTAAATGTCCATATGTGTGCATGTGTGACTGTGTGTACGTGAGCATGAATGTGCACTTTGTGTGTGTACTTGTGTGTTTTTGTGGTATGTGTCCATGTGTGTGCAGTTGTGCATGTGTTATAGGATTGTATTTGTGTGCATTTTAACATGCATGTTTGTGAGTGAATGGGTATGTGTTTGTGTGCATGTGAATGTGTGTGGGTGCGTTTGTGTGCACGTGTGAATGTATGTGTGGGTGTGTGTGCACATGCCCGGTGCCCAGCACTCAGTGGAGCCTTAATAAACTTGGGCTAAATATTGGCCTGAAAGGCCTGAACTAAATGGTGCAGAGGCAAGGAGTCAGGGGAGATGGGGGCAGATGGGGGAGGGGGCCGCCTCCTGTCCCCTTCCTTGGTTCAGAGACCACTATGACCACGGGCCATGTCAGCATCCTAAGGAGCAGTGAGCCAATCACTGGCAGCCTGGGCAGTGTGGCAGTTATGAGGGAGGTCACCCTCTTGCTGACTGGAAGCTTCCCTGAGTCTGAGGGTGGAGGTGCTGTTCCTGATATCTGGCCTGGGCCATACCTGGCACCCCCAACAGTGGGAACCCAGAGCCTCCACCCCGAGTCCCAGACGCCCAAGGTGGAGACTTCCTTGGGTACTGGCTCGGAGATGCTGTTGGCCAAGCTCACCGGCTGACACCCATTCTGATATACAAGCACCAGCTTGTCAGATGCGACTTTTGGTCACATCTTTGGACAGAGACAAATATCCAGGTGACGAGGAGGAGCTGCCAGGCCGAGCAGAGCTCTGGGGATGCGTGTGTTTGGGGCAGACTGAACAGGTGCCCCTGTGGTCAAGATGCACCAAACACCGAGAGCTAGAAACCAGCCAGTGTCCAGGCGTCCAGGCCCTGCCCGCTGACCTGAGCCTGCTGTCAAGACAGCTCTTGTTTGGGGGAAGACAAGATCCCGAAGGGAAAAGGGGAGCAGGACTCTCAGGGTCTGAGGAGTCCAGCTCTGACACCCAGCCCTGCCCCAGGACTGCACTCCACAGCGGGGCTCTGGCCTCCGGGGCTCCATCCCAAACATCTCCAGGGAAGGTGCCACTAGGAGCTTTCCCCAGACACGTGCTGACCAAAGGAAACCCATCTAGGCACTGACTCATCCTTGGGTGCCAGGGGCACCCCAGACACGACGCACAGGGTGGGAGAGAATGATTCTCGTTACGGAAGTGATCACCCCACACATCTACAAAACGCCGCCTTTAAAATATAATAATTCAAGCATGCAAACTCCTTTCGGGAAAAAACTCCTTTCGGTTTACTGTACAAATTACATGAACACCTGAGGTTTATCAGGAGCTGCCTGGCGGCAGGCACTGTCCTAAGAACTTAACAGAATCCATGCATTAAAGCCTCGCCCGTCCAGGAGCACCCAGGTGGGTACTATTTGTATCCCTGCTTCATAACTGGTCAACTGAGGCCGGGAGAGACGGAATGACTTGCCCATGGAAGTGGCAGAGCTGCGGGAGTGGGGCCTTTCCACTGTTTGAGACTCAGGAAAGCGGTGGGCAGGCTCCTAATTTCCCGCTGAGGGTTACGAGAGAAAAGGAGAAAAGCGACGTGACCTGCCTGCGAGAGGTCGGGAGGCGCTCACTGCCATCGCCCTCAGCAGGCCCTCCCTCAGCTTTAGAAATTCGGATTTTCACTATGGAATGAATCCTGTCTGTCTGAGCACCGACAGCATCTTCAGACGGAGCTGACACGCAGACCCCGCAAAGCCACCCTGTGGGTTTGTTCCAACTTCCAGGGCTGGAGGGGCTGAGATGGGGCCCTGTGACTGGCATTGTGACTAGGTTAGAAATGCCCGTTTTTATTTTATTTTTCTGGATCCAACTAAGAACACAAGCACAGAAGCTGAAATTTGAAAACGAAGATAAAAAGAAATGCCAACCCCACCCACCCTTCCCACTGACCGTTTGCATTTAAGACCACCAACAGAGTGGGAGAAAATATTTGCAAAATATACATCTGACAAAGGATTAATAACCAGAATATACAAGGAACTGAAACAACTTTGCAACAAAAAAACAAGCAACCCAATTAAAAAATGGGCAAAAGAGCTAAATAGGCATTTCTCTAAAGAAGATATACAAAAGGCCA